GGGTAGGGAGAAAGTAAGGAAGGGGGGAAGGAAGAGGGATTAGGGAGAGGGGAAGGGAGGGGGAATGGGGGTAGGGAGAGGGGAAGGAGGGAGGGGAAAGGGGGGAGGGATTTAGGGAGGGGGAGGGAAGAAACGGAAGGGGGGGTTAAGGGGGGGTAGGGAGAAGGTAAGGGAAGGGGGGAAGAAAGAGGGATTAGGGAGAGGGGAAGGAAGGTGGAAAGTTGGTAGGGAGAGGGGAAGGGAGGGGAAAGGGGGGGTTAAGGGGGGTAGGGAGAGGGGAAGGGTAAGGGAAAGGGATTAGGGAGAGGGGAAGGGAGAAGGGGAGGAAGAGAGATAGGGAGGAGAGGAAGGAAGAGGGATAGGGAGAGGGAAAGGGGGTAGGGAGAGGGGAAGGGAGAAGGGGAGGAAGAGAAGATAAGGAGAGAGGAAGGAAGAGGGATAGGGAGAGGGGAAGGGAGGGGGGAGGAAAGAAAGGGAGGGAGGCGGAAGAGGGGAAAGGAGAAGGGAAGGAAGAGGGAAAGGAGAAGGGAAGGAAGAGGGATAGGGAGAAGGGAAGGAAGAGGGATATGGAGAGGGGAAGGGAGTGGAAGGAAAGCGCGAGGCGAGGGCTGTGAGGGATGTCTCTGATGGGAAAAACGGGAAAGGAAGAAAGTCTGATGGAGAAGGGGGGGAGGGGAGGCCTGTGTTCGGGATCTTTTCTTTTTACTTTTTTCTTTTTTCTTTTTGCTTTTTGCAACACGACTATGGCCGAGGCATCGATATAAGACGGGCGGGAAGAGGAGGAGAAAGGAAGATATAGGAAGAGAGAGGAAGAAGGACCTTCTGATGGAGATTGGGGGGAGGGGGAGCTCTGTTGGGGAAGGGGGGTGGGGGGGGAGAAGGACGTCTCATGGAGAGGATGGTAGGGGGGGGGGGAGAAGCAGGAGTTAGAGAGCAAGATGGAAAGTGATGACTGGCCAGACGAAATGATGATTGTGCCACGCTGCCAGCCGTTCGAAACAAGGGAAAGAAGCCAAGCGCACCAAAAGAGCCGTTCAATTGCATCATTGCAAAGTGAGCAATTTTCATAGAGCATATTAGAGCACACGTGTCGCGTCAGCTGGTTGGCGAAAATGGTTTACAAATAATCATTTCACCCGAGAGTGCTTTTTCATGTTCGAGAGAAAAGAAGGAAAAAGGGAGAGAAATGAGGTTAAGTTGGATTGTATATTATCTCTCTCTTCCTTTGTCTTCTATTTTATTTTGCTCTCTCTCTCTCTCTCTCTCTCTCTCTCTCTCTCTCTCTCTCTCTCTCTCTCTCTCTCTCTCTCTCTCACTCTCTCACTCTCACTCACTCACTCACTCACTCACTCTCTTTTTCACTCTATCTCTCCCTCACGGTCTCTCTCTCTCTCTCTCTCCCTCTTTCTTTTCTTTCTCTTTCTCTCTAACTCTCACTCACTCCCTCTCCCTCTCCTACACTCTCGCCCTCTCCTCCCCTGTCATCACACTCTCTCTTCCCTTCCCTTCCCTCTTTCCCCATTTCTAAATACAAAATGATTTATATTCATGAACGCGTGATGCAGTGAGGGTACGAATCACCTCTACGCGTCGACCTGGAGACATGAGACCACTCTAACCCCCCCTTTTTTTCATCGCCATAACACGTCTTTGGTTATCATCTGCAAAATGAGCGTTCGGAACACAAACACGTACATAAATATGCTTTTACTCTTTCATGTTCTGTTTATTTCTCTCTCTCTCTCTCTCTCTCTCTCTCTCTCTCTCTCTCTCTCTCTCTCTCTCTCTCTCTCTTCTCTCTTCTCTCTCTCTCCCTCTCCCTCTCCCTCTCTCTCCCTCTCTCTCTCTCTTGTAATAATGATGTGTCATATGAAACTGCCCGATGTTTGTTTTGCAATGTCATTCGGTGTCATGACTGGTGCATGATAATGCGCTCAAGGGCGGGGTTACAGATGAAGGGGGGGAGGGAGAGTGAGGGAGGGAGGAGAGGGAAAGAGATGGGAGGGAGGAGATGGATGGAAGAGAGGAGATAGATTAAGGGAGAGGGAGGTGAGGAGGAAAGAAAGGGAGAGAGATGAAAAGAAGGAGAGGGAGAGATTAAGGGAGGGAGGAGAGGGATGGAAGAGAGAAGAGTGATTAAGGGAGGGAGAGGTGGAGAGGAAAGAAAGGGAGATAGATGAAAAGAAGGAGAGGGAGAGATTAAGGGAGGGAGGAGAGGGATAGAAGATAGGAGAGTGATTAAGGGAGGGGTAGGTGGAGAGGAAAACCGGGCCGCGCTGGCCCGGCGGTGGGCAGCAGCTTGCTTGACAGGGGGAGACGATGGTGCGGGAGGACACCGAGCGCGGTGGGCGGGCCGGGCCGGATGGCGGATCAAGCCAGCGTGCCGCCCGTCATTTATCGTGTCGGCGCCTGGGCCTCCTGCTGGGGCTGGGGGGCGCGGCCCCGGGAGCGCAGCTGGCGGCCTCCCGTAGGACCGGCCCCCGCCGGCGGGCCCCGCTCC